TCAGAGTAATGGAAAGGGTCCCTGAGGGGCAGGGTTAGCTGGGCCCCTAGTCCTCTAAGACAGTGAGCACCAGTGTGTCCAGAGATTGGGGGGCGCGGGGAGTTAAGGGATATGAAGAGGGTTTTGTGCCAGGCACTGTAGTGCAAGTCTAGAATCCCAGCTACTTGGGAGGCTAAAGCAGAAGGATGGTGAGTCAAAGACCATCTTGGGCAACATAGGGAGAACTTGACGCAAGAAGGAAGGAAGGAAGGGAGGAGATGTGTCAGGGTCAAGGTCAAGGTAGGTCCTGGAAATTCGGGCTAGCCACTAAGGGAAATGGCAGATGGAGACATGTCATGCCTCCTGCCACACATGAACACATTACATTCCTTCCTTCTGTGCAGAGGGTATAGAGTACAGGAAAGCTCTAATGACTTCTCACAATTCTGTAAACTAAATTAACCACATTTGAACTGATTCCACTGTGGGGCGATGTGTATATTTTGGAAGCATATGAACATTTTTATAGATCTACAGATTTTTAAAGTGTTGTTAGGTCACTAGGTACCAAGAAAAAAAGACTAGAAGAATATGCTTCAAAATAGTAATAGTATCTACCTTGGGTGAAAGATTTAAGAGTGGATTTTTCTTTTTTCACTTTCTCATCTGTATTTTCTTTTTAAAGATCATGAACAAGTATATATTCTTTTGGAAGTGAAGGAAAAAAAAATCAGTGCCTTTGATCTACCAGGCTGTGGTAATGTGGGACCTTTGAGACATCCCTGCAAGGTAGGGAGGAGGGCTGGTGTATCTCAGTGGCAAAAAGTCTCCATAGACCTTCCTACTGCCTCCCTGCTATCTGTCTAGGATTGTTATGGAGCAAAATTCTTTTCCATAGACTGATAACAGTTTCCACAGTTCTGAAATCTGTGAAAATGTGGGCAGAAGAGCATCTTCCTGAGAAAGAGGTGGGAGGGTGGAGGGGATGGAAAACTTCCTCTGTGGCTGGAAAGTGCATTTGTCACAGATTGCTATCGCAGGGACTGGCCCAGCTGGTCTCTGACTCTGAGGGATAGGCACAGGTGGCTGGGCAGGTGGGACCTTGTCTGGATGGAGATAAGCCTTCTGGGAGATTTATGCAAATGGAATCACAGTGGAAAGTCAAACTTTGAGGAAGACTGAACTGCTAAAATGTCTCTGACTGAGATCTGAAAAAGCCTGAGATAATGAGGGTAGCCAGTGGGACCTCTGACTGCCTATTACAGAGGGACTTTGTCTTATGTCCTTCCGTGGTAGCTGGGACCATCTTAAAAACGGGGTCTTCAGGGGGCCCACCTGTGTCTGCATTAAGGAAAGCTGAGTTCCAGTGCTTCTTGAGGAAATGATGTCTCTTTGCACTTTTTATCTTCTATACATGACAGTAGTGACTTTGGTTGCATTATTAATATTTCAGGATAAACAGAAGGTCATACAGTTGCCCAAATGCAGTTAGTTTTTGCATTACAAGCCCTCTGGGGATTTGTGAGACCCTCAGCCTAGATGGCTCAAAATAAGACATTAATAGCACTTTGGTTACAAACTTAAGGAAAACTGGTCGTATTTCTATTTAGGTAGCTCCTTATTGAGGTTTGTTTACTTATTTATTGCCTGTGTTTTTAAGGATTTTTCCCTTATAGCACAAGCCAACATGTTCACGAGAGAACATTTAAGAAATACAATCAAGAAAATAAAAAATACCCATGATCCTATACCTCAGGACAACCACTAATACTTTTGCATGTATCTTTTTAGTTCCTGTTCATATGTGTGTGTATTGTTGATGTTTCTCATCAATTAAAATACATATTTACTGTCAAAAACTGCATTGTAAATGGCATGGTACATACCATATGGTCCTTACCCACCAAAGTTTATTTGCTTTCAGATTTTCTATCATAGGCTTTTCTGACATCTGACTGTATTTTGCAGACCAATTTTTTTCTCCTTTTTTTTTTTTTTTTTTTTTAAACTTTTAAAAGAAAACTTAATGGAACACCTGAGGGAGTTGAGCCCCCACCAGGGAGATAAGCATGTGTGTGAACAAGGTTCCTCATCTTCAGGCACACCAGTGGGGGAGTGTGACATCACTCTAAACGATAGGTCAGTCAAGTGCTGCCCCTCTCAGGAGTGAATAGGTCCTTAGGAGAAGGAGAGCCTCAGCAAGGAGAATTTGGGGGCCCAGCAAAGAGCCACATGAGGGACAGAAAGGCCAGGAGGAGTTCTATACTCCCACATTGGGGCCAAGGCTTGAACTGGTTCCCCTCCCAGGGGTCCCTCTCCTGTATGCTATCCACCAGGATCCTCCTGGCCTTCCTGGGATCCCTTTCCTCAGTCTGCGCCACTGTCTACTCACCAGCTATTGGAGGCCCTGAGGTCCCATCGCTTCTCTGTGTTTCCTATAGTGCTTGGCACAGTGTAGAAGAGAGTTGTTGGTTGATTTGTCTCTGCAGTCGCCTTAGCTGGACTGTTTATTCATTGTGGGTCATTCCCTTATCCAAAACAAAACTACAGCTTCCATGTATTCTCAGCATTTGAAGATTTTTCTGTTTCTTCCATAGTTCTTCCCTTCCCAGAATTTTTCTTTTCAGACAGGTTCTAAGATTCATTCCTAATCCCTCCTGCTCTGGGATTACCTCCTTGGTTTGTGACCATTTGTCAACCTCCCTCCGCAGGAACAAGTGATGCTCTGTCTGAAACCCTCACTATCCCAACCTGATAATCCACAGTCGCACTCACTCAGAACTCTGCTGGAAGTTTTATAAAGTGCAGGTGTCTTTATGTACAGTCTTTATGTAGTAGTGCTGCAGCGGTCTGGGTGTCTGTATTTTTTTAAGCTACAGAGTTGATGCCAGTGCTGGATCTAGAATCCGGGCTACCATATCCTGAGCACTGTGTGTGGCACGCATCATCTGAGCTCTTTCCATAAACTGTGTGTGGCGTAACCCTCATGGTAGTGCTAGGGATTGGGTAAGATGAATCCTGACTCACTAAAACTAAGGCACAGAGAGGCCCAAGATTCTCTTCACAGAAGAGAATCTCTCCTTACGTGGTCCACATAGCACAGACAGACAAATGTGGAAGTCAAATTTAAAGCAGGGACAGTGGACTTCCAAGCCCACCCCTCACCCCTGTGCTGTCCACCAGGCACTCTTCTCTTGTACTTCTTGGACTCATATTCCCAGCTACCTTCCTGACATCTTTTCCTGGGGGCCCATCTTTTCCTAGCAGGCCCCTGTTGAACTTGCCCACTCTTCCCCACAACTTGCTTCTCCAGTATCCTCTTGGTGGCTTAAGGGTGCCTCCAAACCTTATCAGTGTTCCTCTCCTCCCCTGTGTCAGCCCCCATATCTCCACGGTATTTACTTGGTTCTGTACTACACCTTTTATAAGCTCAGGTGTCTGAATTTTCTCTCCATTTCACTTCTATCCTCATAGTTTAGTCCTTCCTTACTAGACTGTCAACAGTAACCTCCTAAGTGGTCTCTGGGATTTTAATCTCTACTTCTTATGTGGTCCACATAGCACAGACAGACGAGCTCTATTCCTGAAGCATTGGTGTCACCCAATTGCATTGGGCTGCCCAGAAAGAAAACCCAACCCATCCTTAGGTCTGGCATTGAACACTCCACATGGGCTGCCCTTGACCCTGGTCTCTCTGCTAACACTGCACGCCTGGGCTCAGAACACTGGTTTCCTCACCATCTCCCAAGTGTGCTAGGCCCATTCTCACTTCGCCTTTACGCCTGACCCTTCTGCTGGAATCCCTTTTCTCCCCCAGCTCTCACTGGAAAACCTTATCACACTCCTCTGGACAGCCCTTAAACAGCAATTTCTTAAAACTTAAGTTTTTCTGATTCCCCTGGTTAGTTGGTTACTGCCTCCTCTGAGTTCTCTCAACATAAGCGACTTCTACAACATGTAACCCCCTCTATTAGAATTGTTTGTTAGCCTGCAAAAGACCATGAGTCTCCTGGAAATTGATTCTTGAATCCATAGCCATGAGCAGGGCTCAGCGCCAAGTAGGCACTTGGTGAGGGTTGGCTCCCAGACCCCATTCCGACTGGGCACTGCCAGTTTCCTTCTGTTTGGATGGATGCAGAGCAACAACAGATTCTGATGGCATTTTGGCTCTGCTGTTGGTTGTGCCCAAATCTGGACAGCTAGAATAAGAACACAAAGTGTTCACAAGCCAGATGGAATAGCAAATCAGAGGGTAGTCTGGCCAGATAGCAAGTCAGATACCTGAGACCGAGGCTTCCTATTGCTTGGGATTTTACTAAGGAAGAAATACAACTTTCCAATCCTTCATAATAATAGTGCTGATTAAAACTAAAATAAAATATGATTCCAATGTAAACACAACCCATTGAAATTTAGAGCTGCACATTTTGGTCTAGGAAAACTGGACTGTTAGATGTGAAGCCCACCAATGAAAACTCACAAAGGCAGATGCTATTAACAGGAAATTTAATGTAGACCAAAATCATTATGAGTCAAATTGTTACTGTAACATTTAGGTAGGCAAGAATGGATTCAGTGATGTTAGCAAAATTAATTAGAAAATAATCAGGAACAATGTACTATTCTTTGTAGAAAATTGATCAAGGAATTGATGTAGCCTAATGGCATTTCCTCAGAAAAATTCATTGTCAATAAATATTCCTTACTAGGCACACCTGTAATCCTAGCTCCTTAGGAGGCTAAGGCAGGTGGATCACAAGTTCAAGGCCAGCCTGGACTACTGTGAAACCCTGTCTCAAAATAAAATAAAAAATGCTGGGGATGTAGTTCATGCACAAGGCCCTGGGTTCAATCCCCAGCACCACTAAATAAATAAATAAATAGTCCTCACTGTTGATATAATTCAGAAAATACAGTTTACACATGTGTGGTGGCTGCTTTGAAATGACTGTCTCCACTTTGGAGTGTTATGACTGATAGAACTGCCAGAACAACCCTGACACTTTTCCTCTTTCTTACAGGGGGCAGTGCCCAAAGGAAATGCCACTAAAGAATTTATCGAGAGTTTACAGTTGAAGCCTGGGCAGGTGGTATACAAGTGTCCCAAATGCTGCAGCATCAAGCCCGACAGAGCCCACCACTGCAGGTACACGGGCTGGGGCTCCCCTGTCTCCTCTCAGCCACCCTGCCTCCTGTCACACATATACCCTGAAGTAGCACACACTTCCCCCACAAGTGCCAAGTCAGAAAGTGGACTCGGAACACCCACCCCCGGCTCTGCACATTGTGCATGTGCATCCTGGTCCCTGTGAGCCCACTAGATTGGAAAGGGCTTGTGATTTGGACTTAGAACATCTGCCCCAGGACTTGGCTCTGCCACACCTGAAGCAGGCCTTTGTTTTCATATATGTAAAATTGAGGGAACTCCTGTTTTTCCTACCACTTCACAGCTTTTATGACAAGGAGACCATGAGACAAAGCTTTAGAAAATCATTCTGTGAACATCTTATACTTGAAACAAAGGGTTGCTCCTGAATAAAGACTTTCCTTTAAAACCAAACTTCTAGAGGTTATGGCTATTGTAGAAGTCAGCTCAAAAAAATGTTTTCCCATCTTATCTGGCGAGTTTTCCCTTTTTATTTTCAGGTTTCTTTGTTGTTTTGAGTCTTCTTGTTGAGACAATGTCTAAATAAAAATTATATTTTATCATTAGAAAGAACTTTAAATGCTAGAATACAGAGGGAGAAATGTCACTGAGTCCCCTTTTCAGACCAGTGCTTGTGTTTGGGGTGGGGAGGGTCATAGAGGAATGAACTTGCTCTCAGAGGTGAGAGGTCATCCTTATCAGCCCGAGGCCATGGAGCTATTTGGGTCAAGTGAGACGTCTGAGTGAATAAAAGGTGGCCTTTCCCTGTAGTCCTCACTGTCCACCTCTCAGAAGAGACTAGTCAGTCTCTAGGGTTCAGATTCCAGTTGGCTCCTTGGTTCTTGCTGCATCAAGGCACTTACCCTTCCTGTCCCTTCATCACTCATCTGATTTCTATCTTCACAGCCACCCTGAGAGCTAGGTATTACTGTAGGGGTTACTCTTCCTAGTTTCCTAGATGAGGAAACTAAAGCTCATGGTGGTTAAGTGACTGCTCTAAGGTCTTGCAGCCAGTGAGTACTAAAGACTGGTGGTTCTGGCTCCAGGTCCCAGCAGGACTCTTTTCACTAGAACTCCAGTTTGGGAGTAACTCATATAACCCTATGTACTTGTATGTTTGTTTCTCCGTCTCTCTGAAAGAGAGAGATCGATTGATCTGTGGGCCTGCCCAACTAGTTGCCACCTGCTTGAGAGTGAAGGAGGTACTCCAGCAGAGTCCTATGGCAATTGCTGTCCCCTGTGGGGTTTCTATCTAGATCAACTTGCTTCTGAGGTCCACATCAGGTTTACTTCTTGTGTCTGAGATGGAAGCATCAGTCTAGTCTTTTCCTGTCACCTTGGGGCTCTGGAGCTAGCTGCTGTCTAAGGATCACCCAACTTGCTTGTGTGGTTCCTCAGAATAGCCCCAAGGGTTGGACCAGGTTCTGGCCTTGAAGTTGGAGAGGTCATTGTTGGAAATCTGGAACTGTCTCCACTGCACTGTGACCCTTAGGCCTCTGCTTTCTCTCCTATAATTGAGGGTTGTTCCTCCGTAGCTTGTTATGAGGATTAAATTTAAATAACTGTTCAAGCTGCCCAGCTCAGCGAGTAGAAGCTACTCGTTCGTAGAAGAATGTGTAGAGACTTGGAGATGTGCTGGGTTTATAAAGGCAAGACCAGAAACAGAGTTATTGCCTTTGTAGAAAAGAACTTTGGGGCAACCACAGTGGTTTTTTTCTCTTCCCTCCCCACACCCTCAGCTGCCTTCACTGCCTGGCATTTTCCTACCGCCTCCTCGCCTCCCTCCCGGGTGACCAGGGGAGGTGTTCTGAGTGCTAGTAAACACATCAGCTTGAGCAGCAGGAGCTACTTACTCAGATGAGCGAGCGAGGATGCCTGTGCATCGCCTACCTGTTCCTACTTCAGGAAGTGTGTGCTGACGGCTGCTTCTTCGTGACGGCACATGTGGCCCAGGCCATCTGGGGACCCACAGTTTGGATAAGCAGAATCCCCAGCACATGAGACAGCCTGGGCTTGTTGATGGTTGGTTGAGCCCAGTATACTGTAGTTAGAGCTGATAGACTCTGGGCTTGCCTGCTCAGTATGCCCACTTGTGTCTGTCCCCGTCTCTTTTAGTCCTGTGTTCCCAACAGAACCCATTGAATTTGAGGCTGTCTCCATTCCCTGTGCTCTGATGGGTACCACAGATACACCCAGACCTGCATACACCTGAAGGGTGTGTGCAGGTAGGTCTCACCCTCCAGAAGCACTTAGAACCCCACGCTGCTTTCATCCTGGTATGGAATCTCCCAGTCATGAGGACCATGGAAGCATGTGGAAATCCTGTAAGAGGAGCCATTTTACTGATGTGGATGGTTAAGGCTTTAGGCTTATATGCTCGGTTCTTCTTGAAGGAGGTGGAGACCCCTCCTTGGCAATGCCTCAGCCACGCTTCAACCTCTCCAGATATGCACAGTGAGGCTGAGACAGTGGTAGGTTGCTTTGTGCACCTACCAGATTCTTATTTGCCGCAGTCTGGCTGGGCACAATTCAGGAGCCACTTGTCAAAAGAAACGAACTTTATTTTTAGAACACACACACCACACCATATAGCTCCTCAGGAAAAACCCTCAGAGCCCAACTGCGACCACCGGCTTCCCACAAGCCTCTCAACCTCCCCCACTCCTCCTGCTCTTGAGGCCCATTGGCTGGGTCTTGTGGGCAGAGCCAAAAAAAGTCCCCCAGTGAGGAGCTCCGTGGTCTGAAAGGGCTGGGAAACAGCAATGAGCATCACCGCAGAGGAGCCAATCAATTGGCAGCTAGAAGTTGCTGGGGCCGCTGTGAGCCAATCATCAGCTGGCAGCTGGAAGTTTGCTGGGGCCCCTTCGGCTGTGGCTCTCAACGCTTATTGTTTTGTCTTTCTCGTTGCTAAGACTACTAATAAAATGTACATAGCATGAGTATTGTTTTTAAAGCGTTTAGCACACATTATTGGTGCTTACATGAAAGATCAGGGTAATTCTGCTGAGGCTGAGTGGAGAACCTACATTGTTTTGCCCAGACCCAAGATGAAGCTGTGTCCTCAGACCCTCTTCTTTCCCTCACATTGCACTGTCTTTCACAAAGTCAATTCTGAGCTGTGCTGGGCTGTGCTATGGATCTTTGCTTATACTTTTGTCATAGCCAGTGAGGTGTGATGCAGTGAAACCTGTGTGTGATGCCACGACCCCTCCAGTACTTCTTGCTGTTTTCTTTTCATCTTCCCTACCGGAGCATCTAGGCAGATGTGAGTCAGCTCATTTCCCAGGCTTGCTCATTACCTGTCTCTAGCATCAAAGCCTTAAATCAGCAGACTCTGCTATGGAAGGCCCTGGGCTTGGCTCTGTGCTTATACTGGTGAGTTAGAAATCGTCCTGACTCTAGGGGCCTCCCACCCAGGCAGGACAGGCCCTCATCTTGTGGCACAATTCCATAATTACTGCTATGAGAGACACACACAGTCATGCCTATGTTGCATATACGGCCATTACCCAGGATGGGCACCAGAGCCCCAGCCAGCTCATTTGAGGCTGCATACCTAGGAAAGGCCTGTACACCTCCCTGGAGAGGGAACACATAAACACAGAGGGAGTCCATGGATGCATACGAGCCAATGAGCTTGTTGGGTTCTCCCAAGCTTTGAGTCCTGAAAAATGGTAGGGAACCTGGAAGAAGTGGGGAGGAGAAGCATCTGCCTTCTTCTAAAACAATAACTTAAAACATAGAAGGGGCCTGGGAAGTATGGATGGCAAGGACACACACAAAAAATACTTCCATATAAGGCATTTGGTCTTTTTAATGATGTATTGCACATGTGGTCCTTGTGCCCCAGGAACTTACCAGCCCACACTATCTCGTCCATAATTTACTGGAATTAGTGGTAGAAAAGAGTGCAAGGAGAGAGCTTTCAGGCATGTTAAGGAAAGAGCAAGTTAGGAGGGTGCCTCAGAGAACTCAGTTTTGCCAAGTGAGAAGAATGGAGAAAGGGTCCTCTGACGTCGGGCCTGTGCCCAGCAAGACAGTAAGGTAACTGCGGCATGTTTGGAGAAGGGTGGCAGGCTTCTCCATAAGGATTGTGAGGCTTCCTCTTATCCTGTGCTTTGGCTGCCCTGCTACGTCTGGAGAGGGGACACTGCCAAGCCCACTCTGTGCAAAGGAGACTGGCTCTGAGGCAATGATTCCTTATTGGTCATCAGGCCTTGTAAATGGAAGTTCGTGGTTTTTCCACCTCCTGAGGGATAGTCTTTAGGTAAAACCACAGGGTAGAGTGCAAGCACCCTTCACTGCTCCAGGCCTTGCCCCTGACATGCTCCATGCCCAGGCCATTTAGATGAACTTTTTGTGAGCAAGTCAGCCTCTGAACAGTGCTTCACCCCACCCACCCCACAACCACCTGGCCCAGGGTGAGGACAGGTGCCTTTTTTTTTTTTTTTTTTAGTACTTAACCACTGAGCCATATCCCCTGCCCCTTTATATTTTACTTTGAGACAGAGTCTCACTGAGTTGCTTATGGCCTCAATGAGTTGCTTAGGGCCTTGCTAAGTTGCTGAGGCTGGCTTTGAACTCGTGATCCTCCTGCCTCAGCCTTCCAAGCCACTGAGAGTACAGGCGTGTGCCACCACATCCAGCGAGAGGTGCCATCTTTGAGAACAGGAAACTCAAGAGACCAGCATCTTGAGCTAGTCTTTGTAGGCCTCAGTGGCTGTACCTAATTTCCCTGCTGCCTGAAGCATAGGAGTTTGTCTTATTTGGCTGCCCAGTGAGATGAAGTTCCTTGTGATGTCCAGTGTCCTGGCCAATGCCTCATCTCTTCAGTGAAGCTGGGAGGAGAGCAGAGCACAACTTTGCCATGAGAGCTTGTTAAAACTCTTGTACAGCTTTAAGAGGATGGAAGGCCACTTTGTGCTTCTCTGCCCCTGAGCCCACCCTGCCTCAAGAGCACACACTTGAAAACCCTTCTAGAAATAAGTAAAGATAGAAGAGGAACTTACTCAGGGCCCTGGAGCAGAGAGTGTTTGTACTCTCAGGAGTCTGTTTCTCAGATGAGAAGGGACATAAGGAACCCCAGAGTTGATTGTATCCAGAAGAATATCCAAGAAATGGGCTGTAGCAGGCGGCTCCTTGGGAGAGCGGGAGCCTGGTAGCTGAGGCCTAGAACACAGGGCACAAAATCACTCCTTGCTTTCTGTGCTTTTAAAATTGTTCGCTGGGAACACTGTTACCAACTCAGACATATATTATAGTATATTATATATGTATATTTAGATGTATATGTGTGTGTGTGTGTGTATAAATGTGTATGTATGTATATAAATTTTTTTTTTTATGTATGTGTTCAAAATTGTTAACAGAGAGAGAGAGAGAAAAACAGACTGGGCAGTGGAGTTGCCAGTGCCCAGTGTTCTGTTTGTTTCCTCTGCCTTCCTTTTAGGCCTCTTTCTTACTTTGCTTGCCTGGCCCCCAGGGAGATTATGGAGCCAGGCCAGCATGCTTGTGTTGGCCAGGCCCTTTGGAGTGGTGGAAAAGAGTGAGAATGGAGATCAGTACGAATCCACCACTTGTCTGATCGAGACCTAGTATGTGTTCTCATGTATTTTACTTTCATGCTGGTAGGAGATCTGAGGCTCAGAGTTCAACTGTTTGACCCAGGCAGCTCAGCTGATCCAGGTCCACCATGCCACCAGACTTCAGGCCAGGCTTAGCAAAACATACCCTCATCCCTGGGAGAACATGGCAGTGTTTTTGGAACTTCTGTGTGGCTCTTAGTTTGGGGTGTTTTTTTGTTTGTTTGTTTGTTTGTTTGGGAGCTGTAAGGAGCAATTCTTCTCTGTATCCCATCCAACTCTTGTCAAGTTTTTTAAATTACTACTTCATTCCATCTTTGTAAATCCAGTTCTCAGCTGTGTTATCCCAGGAGAGCAGCCTGTTTCTCAGCCATGACAGGTCTGTCCTGTTTATATGTTAAACAAGATAAAAGGCCATGACTCTGTCCCCCTGTTGGGAATGACTGTGAACCCTGGGCATACTGACCCTGCCTTCCAAGGCCCTTGTAAAAAAAACCAGAAAAACCTCTAGCTGTGCCAGAGAGAGCCATTTCTAAGGAGTAAAACTGGAGCTGTGGGTCCCACCTTCCCCTTGGAGGCCCCAAACTGTTAGGATACCCCTAAAGGTCTGACCTGTGGGCTGTTTCAGTGTTTGTAAGCGGTGCATTCGCAAGATGGACCACCACTGCCCTTGGGTCAATAATTGTGTCGGCGAGAACAACCAGAAGTACTTCGTCCTGTTTACAGTAAGTCAGTTTCTGATGTCTGCCCTGCCCTCCACAAAGCAGCAGCAGAGCCTTTTATTCCTTTGCAAATTCTCAGCATTCACAGCAGTCTTGACTGCCCTTGAGAAAGCTGCCTGCCCCGTAGCTCTCCACCCTCCTGCCAAAGATCTCTGGCTGAAGAGTGCCCTTCACTTTCGCATGCAGACAGGTTGATTAGCTCCCACCCCAGGTGTCAGGCTTAAGTAGCTAGAGCAAGCAGTGTCAGCAGTGTCCTCACGTCCTGAGCTGCAGGTAGGTAGAGAACACTCAGAGCTAACTTCACTTGAAGTTAGCAGTCAGCACCCTAACTTAAAGTGAAGAGAAGTAGTACGCCTTGGGCTTTGTTTCTGTTCTGGTTCCACAGACTCAGAGAATGGCTGCTCCCCTCAGACCCAGGGCGGGAGGTCGGAGGCCCTGTGGGGGAGTCACCAGATGCCTCTCTGGCCCCGTCCTGGTCAGGCCTCGGCCTAGCTAAGTGTTCCGAGGAGCAGGTTCTGAATGCCCTGCTCCAGAGTCTGCACAGTCAGAAGGTTCTCACAACAATGGCATCTGCACTGCTTTCCTGTTTCAGATGTACATAGCTCTCATTTCCTTGCACGCCCTCATCATGGTGGGATTCCACTTCCTGCATTGCTTTGAAGAAGATTGGACAAGTGAGTATGTGCCAGGGCTTCCCTTCCTGTTCCAGGGTGGGTTCTGTAACCTAAGCGGGGTGGTCACAGACCACCTATGTGAATCCAGCTCTATTTCCTTCATGGAGGCTCTGTTTCCTTCATGGTACCAGCTGTCTACCTCAGTTTGTTAAATCTACTGCAAGACTATGGAGAGAACAGGGAAAGAACAGCAGAGGCCCAAGTCTATCTTCATGAAAGAGAGCAGCCCCCCCAAAATCAGTTTAACAGGTAAAGTAATGAGTAGAACAGGCCCATTGCACTGAGTGTGCTCAGGGAGAGTGTAAGGCCCCTGCAAGTAGAGACCCTGGTTCCAAGGAGGGGGAGCCATGTTGGGTGATAGCTTATGTTTCTATCTTTACCTGAGGCTTTTTTTTTTTCTTCTTCCAGTTCTGGGGATGGAACCCAGGACCTCAAGCATGCTAGGCAAGTGCTCCACCACTGAGCCACACCCCAGCCCTAAATGGGCACATTAATCAAAAGTTGTTTTATTCTAGTTTTGCAGAAGTCCCTATTTTTAACCTTCTGCCTACGACATAGAGTTTTTTATTGATTTGCTTGGTTTTTTTTGTGGTGGTTGTTTTCAAACTGTTTAATCATCACCAATTTACATTAAGAACATACACAAATTCTCTCTGCTCTAGAAGTATTCCATTTAAATGAGCAGATGGAATGAGGTCCAACCAGAATACTGTTACAAATTCTGAAGGAAAAGAAAAATAGATTCTGGAAGGGAAAAGAAAAATAGATTCTAGAAGGGAAAACAAAAAGAGAGAGAGACCACCTGCTGGGCTAGAGCTTTCACACTCAAAATCTGAGGCAGTCTTGAGCAGGGAACATCATATTTCTACTGTTTTTCCTTGGTGGGTGCCCTTTTTCACTTTATCATCTTCAGAGCAATTGCCTTTCCTGCATGGGCTGACTTGCCATACTTTTGGCATAAGCCCAGGGAAGGAAGGAGACCACACTAATGAGCAGGAGGCATGAGGAAGGGTGGGGGAGAGTGGGCATCTGCAGATCCTAGAAGAGAGTAAGTCTTCAGCAAGTTCCCAATCGCTTGGTGAGCTTCCTGAAGTACCCTCATTCTGCCACACCCTGGGGATGCAGGTCAGCTCCTCGTTTTATTAACACTTCCCACCTGTCATCAGGGTAACTGTAGGCAGTAACAGAGACTGTCAGTGAGGTGGAATGTCTTTGAAATGGTTTTATTAATGTCTACAAGGAGACAGGCATCACACAAAAGGCTTGTTGAGCAGTACCTCGTTTCAGTCTTACAACAAGCCTGCAGGGTAGAAGAGTACTCCCCACTTTGCACATGACAAAAACTGGAGCTTACAGAGGTTGAACAAGTTCTACGATCATTTAGCCAAGAAGAGGGCCTGCTGTTCAAGCCTCAATCTGGAGCAAGGGTTTCCACCTTATCTGGCTACCCCAGGGTCTTCCCTGGCACTGCTTGTCTTTGCTCAAAATTGCTGACGGAGTGGATTTGAGGCACCAGTTCCTAGACCAGCAAGGCTAGGAAGGCACAGGACAGTCCCCGGAATGGATACCTGAAAGTTGCCTGTGTATGACAGTTAATGCCATCATTGCTTAGTCCTGGTTGAGCTGGTGGGGCCATAGGAGCTTATATTAAGAGGGCATGGGGACTGTCCCCTAGGTTGAGGTGTTTTGAGTTAATGTTTAAAGAAGAATAGGGAGGTAGTTTCACATCCCCTGAATCTGGATCGTGCCTGCCCAGGCTCCATTTGTAATCTCCAGGGCCCAGCTCAAGAAGGGAAGGATGCTTGCTGCTTTGCAGGGAGGGAGATTAAGCCCTGCCGCGGGCTTTGCCTACAGCTCCAAGGCAGCCGAGTTAGGTGAGGCAGAGGCAAGGTACCTACATCCAGTGAGCACCCTCTGACCTCGTGTCAGGCTAAGGCTGTGCTATACAGATGTCCTCTCATGAATTCTTTCTTTTGCAGGGGTCTTGGGGGGAGTACCAGGGATTGAACCTTAGGGGCACTCAACCACTGAGCCACATCCCCAGCCTTTTTTTTTTTTTTTTAGAGACAGGGTCTCACTGAGTTGCTTAGAGCCTTGCTTTTGCTGAGGCTGACTTTGAACTCACGATCCTCCTGTCTCAGCATCCTGAGCCACTGGGATTACCGGTGTGCACCACCATGCCTGGCCTCTTATGAATTCTTAATTGTATCCCGGTACAGAAGGGAAAAGCCCAACCCTCTTGCCCAGATTCTCTTGTTGTTAGATACTGTTCCAACCTGGTTATGTAGCAGTGAGCAAAGTCCTCAGCTTCATGAAGCTTGAGGTATAGTGGGAAAGGCAGATACCAAGCAAGTACCAAAAGAAAAAGACAGTTCCACAACGCAAGATGGGTTGCAACAGATTATTAATTATTAGGTTATTAGTTAGAGCTCACAGCCAGGGGTTCAAACTCCAGCATGTCTGCCTAACTTCAAAGCCCTATTAATTTCTTCCTAATATCCTGCCCAGCAGATGGCCAGGCAAGCAGCTGCCATGTTTAGGGCCACCCAGAGCCAGCCCAGCAGGCTGGTGGGCTACCTTGACCAAGCCCTGCCCAGCAAGGAACCAAGAAAAGAAATATCTTGAGGTATTAAGTTCCCAGGGAAACCTAAGGGAAGGAAGGTGTTTAGATGAGATGTCCCTTCACCTGCCTCCCCACAGACTTTGGTATCTTTCTAAGCCCTTGCAACCTTCCTTACTCCTCTTGATGTACCTGCGAGGCCACCAGCAGGGCAACTCAGAGAATCACTTACTCCCTGAATCCTCAGAGCCAGTGAAGCCAAACTGTCTTTCAACCTCTCCAGCCAGGGAAGCAGGCCTGAGCTGCCCAGGCAGCTGCACTCAGCAAGGGTCCTCAGGGAATGAGTGCTCCCAAGAGGCCTCGACTACACTGCCAGTGCCGTGGCCTGGGCCAGGCATGTCCCAGGTGTGGTTCACCTGTCTTGGGAGTTTCCTGGGAGGCTGCTGTGATGATGACCTCTACCATCTCCAACAGCACCTCTGTTCTCTTCCAACATTTCTTTTCTTATTTAGACTTTGTTCAGACAAAAGATTTTGCCACACAGGAGCAAACCAGGCCTCTAGTCAGACACTGCTGTTTTACACTGAATCCTGGATAGGACAGGGCCTTGCCCCAGGTCAGGGTGGCCTTATAGTGGCCAGTATAGTAAAAGTGTCTGCCTTAGGCCATTATCTCTTTAGTTAATTCCCCAGCCTTTGGGGCTGATGGTCTCAGTGAGGCAGATGTCCTGGAAGAAAGGGCGTCGCCTCACACTGTGGTCAGAGCTGAGCCCTGCACTTAGTCTACCCTCCCAAGCTTCAAATCCAGATGCTTCAGTCCTCCCCTTTTCTCTCTGTGGTCTGATGGGGGTACAGAAAGAGGCAGCACCTTGTACAGGATTGCCCAGGAGCCCCCTGGCCAAATCAGGACTGGAGGGGCCTCTGCACCTGAGCCCTTGCGTTGTGCTCTCTGAGGAAGGAGAGGCCCCCATGCTGTAATGAGGTTGTCCTACTGTAGTTCATGGTCCTTCCTGGGTCTTCCATGTGCCAGGCTGTCTGCTTGGAGCCAAGGACAGGGAGCAGGGGCTGATTCTTGTTAGGGAAAGGGAAGCCCCAGCCAGAGCCTCTTGAGGAGGGCTTCCCTAAGAGGGTGAGGGGTAGCCAGCTGTAGGATAGGATAGTACCTGCCATGCCTGGAGGTCAGAGACTTGGGATCCCCAAGAGGTGCCGAGTCCTGCAGCGTAGGCAGAGCAGGAATCCAGGTGCCTTAGGGAGCTGGGCAGCAGCAGGTGGCAGCCCCGAGCCTGCATGTCCTTCTCTGTTTCAGAGTGCAGCTCCTTCTCACCGCCCACCACAGTGATCCTCCTCATCCTGCTGTGCTTTGAGGCGCTGCTCTTCCTCATTTTCACATCAGTGATGTTTGGGACCCAAGTGCACTCCATCTGCACGGATGAGACGGTAAGTGGGCATCCCTGCCTTCCACCTCTTCATCTGGGGCTGGGAAGGACCCCAGACAGGTACTGGAAGGGCTGCTCCCAGGCCAGACCCGAAAGCCCAGTAGCTAGGCCCCGGTGTGCAGAGCACAATCCCTCCGTTTGCAGTGACACAGATCGTCTTTATGCACACACAAACCCTCTAGCCTTGGACAGGTACAGCAGATCACACCAGAAACGGGACTAGCAGCCGTGGCTAGAAGGTTGCCTGTACCATAGTCCCTTTCATAACCTACCTCCTGGTTCTTTGTATGCACTGCTGTGTTGGGCACTCTGCTAGGCACTGGGGACATGTTTCCCATCTGGAGGCCAGAGGTTTAGAGATAGGGTGATCCACAAGTTATGGCCTAAACCAGCTGGGATAGACAAGGTCAGCTTCCCAGAGGAGATGTCATGACCAGGTCCTAGGGGCATTCAGAAGACACCTGCCTTGAATCTCCAGCAGCTTCTGCTGGCATTTGAATTGTCGGTGCTTGGCCCAGCCCTGGCACTCAGCCGTGGCATCCCATCCCCCCACTCCTTGCCATCCTACCTACTACTCCCTTTTGGGGCCTGTTGAAGTTGCTGGCTGGGCCAGACTGGAGCCTGCTCCCCTGGTACCCTGCTGCCACCACGTGCTTCTTCAGGTGTCCGGTGTCCTTGAGGTGGCATTTCTTTCTTTTCTGGTTTGGGGGTCAGATAAAGGACTCCAGGAAGAGAGGGCAGCACTTTGCTCTGGGCATGAGGAGCAGAGTCAGGAGGTCTCAAGCTTTTTCACATATTACTCCTGGCTTCCCAAGCTCCCCCAGTGGACATTTTCAACAGTGGTCTGGAGGCTGTGGACTGTTGGGTAACCAGTGTGTGAGTGGGGCTCTTAGAAAGATAGTCCTTCCCATTGCTGTGGGTTTCTCTGCCTTATAGGCATAGAAAAGCAGTCAGCAGAGAAGGGTCAGTACTACCCACTGTCAAAGCACCATAGTGTGGATCTGAGGGATGGGATTCCCAATGTTTTAGAAGGGTCATGGGACTTTCAGCAACTCTTTTTCATTTATAAGAAATAATGTAATTTCTGGGCACAATGGTGCGCGCCTGTAATCCCAGTGACTTGGGAGGCTGAGGTAGGAGGATGCAAGTTTGAGGCCAGCCTCATCAATTTAGCAAAGTCCTAAGGAATTTTGTGAGACCCTGTCTTAAAATAAAAAATGAAAAGGGCTGGGAATGTGGCTCAATGGTAAAGTTCCCCTGATTCAATCCCCAGTACAAAATAAAGAAATGTCATTGCAAAAGAGTTTCTGTAAAATAGTAGCCAATGGTATAGATCCAGCTATGTAGCCAAACAGTAAAGTGACCAGCTTCTCTGTGTAAAAGCTGCAGGGAATCCAAAGGTGACTATCAGGCTCTGCCCACTTTCAGGATGCTGTTGGAGGGCCAGAAGGAAAACATTCCTGGCCTGGTCCTAGTTGTTCTTCCCCGTCAAGGCTATTCCTAAGGGGATATGTTGGAAAGCTAAAGAGAAAGGAACATAGGGCCTGCACCTCATGGGAAAGGGTATCTTCCCCTTGACCAATGTCCTTCCCAGGTCCCTGGGCTGTGAAGACTCAGACTGGACTGTCCCAGCCCCCATCTCACCAGAGACCACAGCAGACAGCTCTAGCTGAGCTCCTGCCAGGCAGCTTCTCTCCTGTGCCTCTGCACAGGGGCCCATACTCAAGCCTTGCCCTTTGTCCAGCTCTGCTGGCAGTTGACCAGCTCCATCTGAAGAAGGGAAAAGGGGAAATTTCCTCCTAGTCCCCATTTTTTCCAGTGAAATATAGCAAGGGAAGTGGCACAGGCTGTGTGACATTGCCACATTGGCCTCCCCCACGCTTCTGCCCCAAAGGAGCACATGGAAGACCTTCGCCGTGACTGAGGCTGACCTATACTAATCCCTTTCCTTCCTCCTCTGGTGACTTCTTCCCTCACCCACGGCCTCTCACTTCTGCTCTATCTTCTTGGTTTGTGTCTCGCCAGCCCCGCTGAGCCAGCTGCTTCTGGATCCCCACAGGCTGGTGAGACTCAGCGCCAGAGCAGTCATTTGATTTGTTGCTTTTTTTTTTTGTCTGCAAAGTGGTCATAGTAGCTTCAAACTTCCCATGAATCTATCCCAATTTAGCAGCCACTGCTAATTCTCATGACTGCAGGGTCCCACTCAGTTCTGAGGCTTCCCCCACCAAAGCCTGCACTGCAGTCCCATGTGCACCCAGCACAGGCCACAAGCTCCTCTCTAGAGCCCAGGAAAGACCAGGTCTGGTGAATGTTCCCAACCTACAATATGCTGGATTGGCACAGTTAGGACAACAGCTTAGGTGTCTCCTGGCTGCGCTCATGTTCCCTTCCTTCTCTGAGGGACTTGTAAATATGTGCCCACCAAAAAAAGCATTTTTTTTGTGTGTGTGTGACACTTCTTATGAGGGACAGAGAAGAAAACTGCAACATGTAGATAGCTATATATTGCTTTAAAAAGGAAGCATTTCCTCCAGTCATCTCAAGCTAATGGATGTCCCTCCCCAAAACTACAGCAATAAAGTGCTTGACTGAAAGTATGATTGTTCTTGTTTTCAGGGAATAGAACAATTGAAAAAGGAAGAGAGAAGATGGGCTAAAAAAACAAAATGGATGAACATGAAAGCAGTTTTTGGCCACCCCTTCTCTCTAGGCTGGGCCAGCCCCTTTGCCACGCCAGATCAAGGGAAGGCAGACCCGTACCAGTATGTGGTCTGAAGGACCCCTGACCAGCATTGCCACTCAGACACAAACCACATCACAGCACTATCGTCCGATCTGTTCTCATGAATGTTTAGACCGAAAAGCAAATCAACTACTCTAAAACTTTTTTTATGTCTCAAGTAAAATGGCTGAACATTGCAGAGGAAAAAAAAAGTCCCCATGTTTTATTTTTTAAAAATCATCCTTTTTGATTTTTTGATGACCGAAGCTGCTCTTCTTTTTCCTTTTAAAAATCACTTCTCTGGCCTCTGGTTTCCTCTCTGCTATCTGTCTGGCATGACTAACGTGGAGGGTGCTGTCTCCAGGCCGTGTCCACTTCTACTAATTGAGTGAGACGTGACGCTGTGCGTGGATGGACTGGCCTGGTAGGAAAGCCAGGAGGGCCCTGGCCTCCCACTGCCCAGGAGGCAGTGGCAGGAGCCCATGGGACTTAAAACTCACTGAAGATGGATATTTGCCCCTTGAGGCCTGAGAAGGGCAGGATCAGGGCTGGTGCCTTCAGAAGGGCCCGTGGCTCAGCAGCCTCCTCCCCCAAGTGGACACAGTTTGCCTCCTCATTCACAAAATCAGTTATTCTGCCTTGTACTTTATGGGCCTGGGGTGTGTAGAATAATTTTGGTGGGGAAGGGGGGAGAGTTGAAGGGGTCTAATTTGTATTCTAAATCAGCAGTTTTATCCCTCTGATGATTTCAGAAGAAAATGAAGGAAAGGAGTTTTTCCATTTCAAAATGCCCTGTACAATCAAAGGGGTGGGGGGCCATGCAGTTTCAGGCAAGCTACATATTATTCCTTTGTTACAACTACTTCCTCCCTGACCGCCCCATCTCCCTCCCTTCCCTGGCGAGATGTCAATTAAGCAGTGTTGATTCTGGGTGGAACACATGTGCCCCACCGTCAAGCCCTTCTCATTTTGTAAATCTCTAACATGGGTCCACTTTCTGCTATTTAAGAGCCATGGAATGTGTGCGTACCCATGTCTTATTTTAACCTAGGAGACTGTTGTCCTGGCATGGGGCTAACCATGATCTGGGACAACATTTTTAAAGTTGACAGAAGAATGTCCGCTCACTGGACTGAGCCAGGGGCACCTGGCCCTGCTGCACTGAGGAAGGCCAGCCTTCCCATGGGAGGCACTTCCCCCACTGGGTCTCATTTGAAAGAGGTGGTGACAAGCTAGAGGAAGGACCAAGAGTGGTGGGGAGAGGTGAGGAGATAGGGAGTGCCCTCAGACACAAAAATAACCAATCTGAATCCTGACCATCTGTGAATTCCTACACACTGATTTGTTTTTTAAGCGATTGTCACAAATCTCCCTTTTTAGCTTTTGCTTGGGGTGGGGGCGGGGGATAAGATTTATTCAGTCTAGTCCTGGGTAGGGAGAAAGTTAATCTAGCCATGTGATTTTTCAGAAAAGTCAGTGGAACATGCTGCCTCTTTTAATTCTGTCAGTGCTTCCACATGGAAACAATGCAATAAAACTTTTCCAAAACCTGCTCTGATTTAGCTTTCCTCTCTTCCCATGTCACCCACAGAGGAGGGTAGATCTCCCATAGCTGCTGAGGTTTCTCTGCTGGAGTGGTGGTTTAATTGTGCTCTCTCTTGAATGAAGGTTTTTTACTTAAAGATTTCTATAGAAAGGACATTTATGGTCCTTCTCAAACAAGCTGCCCCACCAGGCCTGTCTCTCTTGGCTGGCTGCTGTCTGAATTGCCTGCTTGGTGTTGATGAGCTCTTAGTGGCTCTAGCAAGTCCTTAAGTCTCTCTGGAGTTTGTGAGCAGAGCCACCCAGCCAAAAGCCAAGTCCAGCCAGAGGAAAGCATTGCAGAACTCTGGTGAGTGCTGTTCTGGTGCAGTTCTTTGAGGAGCTTTGGCCTCGGGTGGCATGTTGCCAGGTGAGAGACAGCACCCTTGAGCTGTTTAGTCGAGCAACTCTGTGACCCTCCCTAAGGCAGGTAACTTGAACTTGCCTCTACTGTGCTATTCGTGCCATAGAATCAAGCCTCAGTTCTTAAGTGTTTTTTTAGAAAGCCTGCTTTTAATCAAGTTCATAGCATTTGTTCTCCATATACGTTCTTTTTTTTTTTTTAACATTTCATTTAGGTAGATGAAAGAAGAGTGGCTGTTAGATGACTCTTAGCAGTTAAGAAGGAATGGGTCCCTTGGGAGACAATGCTGCAGCTCTGGTCCTCCCCCTAGGGGACAGGGACTGGTACTCAGGAA